AAAAAAGAGAAAATTTTAAAAAACAAACACGAGTCTTAATGAAAGTTTGTATGTAATAGCATGCAAATAATATAAGAATTAATTTAACAATGTTGGCAAAGCCGAATGCACTATATACAGTAATCGATTGGATTAAATAACACTGTCTGTTTTATAGAGATTTAAAATTATCTATGCTGTTTAAAACAATATTGGGGGGAAAAAGTAAACACTCTTAAGACAATTTGAAAGGCAATAGAGTAATATATGAATTGCAATCTGTTGGCTGCTATATAATAATAATAATAATAATTAATAATAATGATGAATACTAATACTATGCACCAGAATTATTTATTAAATTCCAAGGAAGCAAAATACGGTTTGAACCTTGATTTATAAAATGCATACTTTTATTTATTGTTGCAAAAACTTGACAAAATGTTTCAGTTAGGCTTCTAGGCGAAGGCTTAATTGACCAAGACATGAGCTTTGGGGTTTTATGGTGTTTTTTTAAAATTGTTTCTTTAGAAAGAGAACCCTTAAAAAGATAAGGATATTAAAGCATATGGGTTATTTCACAGAAACCCAGCACAATTTGTGAAATTTTGGAAACTGGTGCATTTTTAGGTGCAAAGCGTTTTAAATGACCTTTCGATTTTATGTGACTTTTAACACTGTTGCATCCAGAGAAAACTGGTTTCGTTTAGAGCTTTGATACAGTTCGGAATAATAGTTTGTTTTCCACATCCTGCTCTTGAGCCATGCAGGCTGTTGCAACCTCAAACCAATTTACTATTTATATATAGATAGATAGATATATTTTTTGTTTATTTGTCATGAATTGTTTCTCATTGTGTTCAGGCATCAGTACAAAAAGCCTCCTTTTAGCTTTCATTTGCTATCAAACAAAAATAAACCTCTTTAGACATAATATTTGTCTTGCCTTTTCTGGTTTTCTTCCAAGCGCTTCAGAAAAACCTTTGCTCATTCCTGCTGTTTAATTATGTTTGCAGCTAGAGTAGAATGGATGTAAACGAACTGTTCTTGATTTTTCAAATTTTTCTGTACAAGAGGATTAAATGTGTGTTCTTGAAGAGGGGATGGTGGTAAAGACTTGGGTGTTTCTGCCCTTCACAAGAAGGCGAGGGGGTTTAAAAAACGAAGTTGAACTTTGCTTCCATGAAATACAAACCTTTCCAGCTGAAAAATTCGTTATCAGTTTAGCTCAGTGCCAACGTAAATAATTTTCTTGTATTCCTTATTTAGTAATTCGATTCCTTTTGATTACTTGGCGTTTTCTCTCTTATTGTGTTTATTTTTAAGAACGATATTCTCTCCTAATATTTGCCTTCTCCCTCTCTCCCTTCCAATTTTTATACTTTGGGCAAAAAAAAAAATTTAAAAGAGACAAAACTTTAGGCCCCCCCCCCTTTTAAAATGCTGGTGGCTTTGCTGCCCACATGCATTTAGATGTTTTCTTTTGTTTAAAATCCTCCCATTAAAAAAAATCAAATATTGCATTGATTTAAATGACTTTCCACCCCAAAAGTCTTGCCTTTGACCCGTTTTTTTTTTTTTTTTAAGGTTTGCAATATAAGGATTAGCTGAGCTGCAGTTTGACTCTGCCCTTCTCTTCTGGGGAGGTGGGAGGCTTGTTTGTTCTAGATTAAAACAATATGTATTTCTTCCAGTCATTCTGTGTGTTTAGCTCCTAGTTTACAAGATAAATGTCCGTTTTACGCCACCAAAGGAAGGGGTTTCTACTCCACATGAAATGCTCTTGCTAACCAGTTCCCCAGCTGTCGGTTTTATAACCAGGTCCACATGGAAGCCCCATTGCCTTTTATTTGAGATGGTAATAAATGGGTTTATCTCCCACTTTGGCTTCCCAGCGAGGAATTTCTCTTCTCTTTTAAAAGACCCCAGATTGCTTTAAAATATATCGGGTGAGAAGGAAAACAAAATTCCTGTCCAGATTTCTTACTTTGGGAAGTTTGCATGGGAAGTGAGTATTTTAACCTGTAAACATTTTCCCCTGTTTTTTTATTTAACTAAGGAGATGAAAGATCTGATCTGAATATTTCTTTCTTTCAAGACTGTTTTACGTGGAATTGCTTAAAACTGAGTAACTAAAAAAAAAACCAGTACATTTTTAAACAACAAAAGGGCGTGTCCCCATCTTTGCATGATTGCTTTTCTCCTTTTAGTAATGGAATGGGTTTCTTTCTTTTTTGCTTCTTACAAGCTTTGGCCACCCGAACCTTCTCCTTTCCATGTCCTGGAGGCTTCAAGGTGATTTTATTTAAATTGAAGCATCCTGAATGATGCCTTTGGAGCAACACAAACCCTTTGCATTTTTATATAGTGTGGTGGTTTAGGCAAGGCACCGTATCACTTCTTTGTAAAGAGGCTGAAATTTTGTACTCTGCAGAATCTCCTGCACCTCCCCCCCCCCAAAACCTCTAGTTCCCAGAACATTTGGCTTGGCTTCTGTCCTGTGGGTCGGCATGTGTTCCTGGTTTATATAAAGAGACAAGGGGGGGGAAGAAACCCCCCCCCCTGTAATTGGTTGCATGGTCAAGCAAGGTGCCCATCGTATAAAGAGACAAGGGGGGGGGAAGAAACCCCCCCTGTAATTGGTTGCATGGTCAATCAAGGTGCCCATTGCAGCCCCTGTTAATGTACACGTTGGCAACGGACGCTGTTCTGAACGTGTCCACATTTTAAAACCGTGTGGTTGCTTCTTGGTTCCTACTGGGAACAGAAAGGAAGAAAGATTTGGGAAGACTGGTTTGCCTCAGTTTGGCATGCTTTAACTGCCCCCCCCGAAGTGCTAGGAATATTGTTATTGGCTTCTATTGACCTGGGATTTTCCAGACCTCTTTCACTCAGCAGTATATGAGGGAGCCATCCCCCCCCCCGTTGTCACAGAACCATGTTCTGTGTTTTGTCTGCTGTGTTCCACTTTCTCTGGCGCTGTGCGTGGGACCTTATATTTTTTTCGCAGTGCGCAACGCTGTGCCGGCCATTGACACACTTTTCCTCAAATGTATTGAAAGGACTTCTTGAGGCGGGGTAGGTCTTCCCTGGCTGGATGAGGACCAAAAGGGAAGGAATGGGAAATGGTCGTTGTGTTGTAGTGAGATAGTTTGTGGTGTCTCGACTGAGGCGAGGAAGGAGTTTCTGAAGAAGCTGAGGGGTTCGAAGACTGGATGGCAGAGAAACTGCCCGAAGGGTTATCCTAGGCTAAATCTCATCTTTTTCTCTGCTCTTTTTAACTGATTTCTGCTTCTGCTTTTCTGTCATTTTTGTTCTGAGTTCACCTCCATGTTAGGTTAGCGTCTGGCTCCCTCGTTCTTGTCGCAGAAGGGGATGTGTTAATCTTAAGGCTTCCACAGCCACCCCTTCGGCTATGTCTTCAGTGTGTGTGTGTGTGCATGCGTGCGTGTGCCCTGTCTCCGGAGACTGGCCTTCGAACCGACTCCATCGGTTTGGACACTTCTCCCTCTCCCTCCACCGCCTTCTTTTCCAAGATGTCAGCCCCAGATCAATGTGATGATGACTAAATAAGAGCAGGGAAAGTCTTCATCTGCTGTTAAGATGCTTTGAACAGTTTCTGCATCCAGCAGATGGCAACTTTAGAATTGCCACGTCATTGTGGGCAAGTCCTGTAATGGCGAAAGAGGCCAAAGAACTGAGCTTTAGGTGGACAGGTGCCATAGCGAAACAACGCTTCTGTTTTTTGAGAGAGGCTTCTGTTTGTTTCAGGGTCGGGCTCCTCACAAGCTGTGTCCTTCTGTTGGGAAAGGCTACTTTTCCTTCTCAGGCATAGAAGCCAGTTGG